GCGAGAGGGCGCAGGCCAGGCCGAGGGACCCCACTGGTGCATGAATCCATGCACCAGGCCTCTAGTTTTATTACTAATACTAATAGCAGTTAACACTTCCATTATACTTAACCATTGCCAGATACTGTTCCAAGTACTTTATATTTCTTTTCTTTTTTTTAAATATACATTTTTATTGATTTTAGAGAGGAAGGGAGAGGGAGAGAGAGATAGAAATATCAGTGATGAGAAAGAATCATTGATTGGCTGCCTCCTGCATGTCCTCTACTAGGGATTGAGCCTGCAACCTGGGCATGTGCCCTTGGCCGGAATCAAACCAGGACCCTTCAGTCTGCAGGCCCACACTCTATCCCCTGAGCCAAATTGACTAGGGCATACTGTCTTATTCTTGAGTATATTTCTTTTCTTTTAAAATAATTTAAAATGTTTTATTTATTTATTTTTTATTTTTGTTGTTAATTCTTACCTGAGGATATTTTTCCATTGATTTTTAGGGTAGTGAAAGAGGGAGGGAAAGACAGAAACATTGATGTGAGAGAAACACATTGATTGGTTGCCTCCTCAATGAGACCTGTCAGGGAGCCTACAACGAAGATACATTCCCTTGACCGGAATCGAACCCGGGGCCATTCCCTTGACCAGAATTGAACCCGGGGCCCTTTGGTCCACAGGCCGTTGCTCTATCCACTGAGGCCAAACTGGCTAGCGCAGCACTTTATATTTCTTAACAGAGGTATGAAGCACTTTTTAAAAAATGTTTTTATTGATTATCAGCGAGGAAGAGAGAGAGAGAGAGAGAGAGAAACATCCATGATGAGAGAGAATCATGGATCTGCTACCTCATGCACGCCCCCTAATGGGGATCGAGTTCACAGCCTGGGCATGTGCCCTGACCAGGAATCAAACCAGTAACCTCTTGGTGCACAGGATGATGCCCAACCACTGAGCCACCGCAGTCGGGCCCTATGAAGCACTTTTATTCTCATGTTAACTGATGAGGAAACAGAAGCATAGGAAAAAAAGTGCTAGTAACTTTTGTTCAAGGTCACACAGGCTGGTAAATTATGGAGCTAGAAACAGCCTGTCTGACTGGTACTTCTACTGTCTAGCTAGTACTACCTGTGATGCATCATCTACATATATAAAAAGCCAGCAACCATAACCCCGGAATGACTGGTCACTATGATGCCCACTGTGGCCAGCGAACTGGCCCGATCTGGGGGTGAGGCTGGCTGGCCAACCCCACCCCCGATGGGCCCCCACCACCCCAATTGGCCCGCAGCCCCTCCCCTCCATTGGCCCTGCCCCTAATTGCCTGCCCCCTACCCCAATAGGGGGCAGGGCCAGCCCATCAACCGCCTGTGGCCCCACCCCCCGGCAGGCCCCACCCCCGATGGGCCCCCACCACCCCATGGGCCTGCGGCCCCTCCCACCAGCCAGCTCCGCCCCTGATCGGCCCCCCACTCCGATCAGGGGCAGGGCCGACCAGCCAACCACCCATGGCCCCTCCCCCAGGCCACTGGTCCCCCATCAGCCTCCCCTACCCCATTTGGGGGCGGGGCCAGTTGGCCCACTGCCCATAGCCCCTCCCCATGGCTGGCCCCACCCCTCCTGATCAGCCCCCACCACCCCTATCCACCCGTGACCCCTCCCCCCAGCCAGCTCTGCCCCTGATTGCCCCACCCCCACACCAATTGGGGGTGGGGCCGACCTGCCCACATCCCCTCCCCATGGCCAGCCCCGCCTCCAATTGGTCCCCTCCACCCCAATCGGGGGCTGGTCCCCTCAGTCAATTGCCCACAGCCCCTTCCCCCAGCCAGCCCAGCCCTGATCAGGGGCAGGCCAGCTGGCTAACCTCCAGCAGCTGCCTCCTTCTGAAAGGCCCTGCCCCGATCCACCCCTATTGGGGCCGGGCCGGCCAGACCCCACCCGTGCACAAATTCATGCACTGGGCCTCTAGTCATTAAATAAGATAAACCTAAAGAAGGTTCATCTCTAGGTTTATAGTCTCTTGCTACTTTCTAGAGCAGCCGTGGGCAAACTACGGCCCGCGGGCCGGATCCGGCCTGTTTGAAATGAATAAAACTAAAAAAAAAAAAGACCGTACCCTTTTATGTAATGATGTTTACTTTGAATTTATATTAATTCACACAAACACTCCATCCATGCTTTTGTTCCGGCCCTCCGGTCCAGTTTAAGAACCCATTGTGGCCCTCGAGTCAAAAAGTTTGCCCACCCCTGTTCTAGAGTGTCTTTCACTGTGGCCAGAATTTTAACTTGTATTCATAGCTATGATTTTTAAGGTGTATTTTTAAAATTTGACTTGAAAACCTGCATTATAAATTCCTTTTATGAGTGAGTTTCAGCTTTGGAGGAAGGTTGTGTGGGGTGATTTTGTCATCTTCTATCAGACATTCTAAACTTTTAAATGAGGAATGACATGTAGGCTAGATCTAATTGTGGTATATATGCAGTGAAGGCAATTTTTCAAAGTATATTAAAGAAATATATCTATCTCATTTAAGCACCTTTTTAAATGTTATGATTAAACATTATACTATTAATTATTGCTGGTAAGATGATTTAAATTCTTTAAAAGAGAGAGTTTATTGGGAAGATGTTAATTGGAAGGATGTAATAGAACCTGCCAGTACATTGAAACTCTTACTAACTG